TCATTTTCATCAACGGAGTCCACTTAAGGACTTCTATTTCAGATGCTACATTGATTAGAAATTTTATATGATACTTTAATTAAAAGTGATAATTTGACAACAATCAAATTGACTAAGAATTTTATATAAATATAATAGTAACTTAGAGGCAGATTATAGAAGTGTCAGTTTAGTTTTAAATCATGGATCCCTTCTCATCAGGGAATTAATAGTAGGTCTCTAACCTCCTATTATTAGTGGAATAAACCCCATGGCTGTGCCAATATTTCAAAGTTGCTTTTGTGACCTGTGCATCTTTATCTATTGTTGCTTCTGTGTCAAAGCATGCTTTCAGACTCCTTTTGAGGTTCACTCAATTTCTATTCAACATCAGTTCCTTTAACAAGACTTCACTGTCTTTTCTCTGACTCCCCATACATTCATGACACCTTTGTCCTGTACTCTTTATTTGTGGTTGACGTTTTTTCTTTAGAACTCTCCCTTTTATTACAGTCATGCTCTGTGTCTTGCACTACAATAAAATCTCTGCACATTTCCTTTCCCCACAGACTCCCTTCTCTAAGCTTTGCACTACACACTGTTGTCTTTTTATTTTCTCATCCACTTCTCAGTTCTAAGCCTTCAAATAACTCTTTCTGGTGCTACTGTCATTTCTCTATTACTAGCTACACTTAATTTATGCTGGCAACATTCATATTGAAGCTTACACTCCACATAGCTCCATCATCCTTTAGTTTATTCCTGACTCTACTGGTGAAAGGATTTACTTCTTTTCCCTAAGGAAACCCTGTTTTTTGGAAGCAAGACTGGTATTTGACAGACGAGCCAAGTATGTCATGCTCCCAGGAGACAAGTAAAGAAGTAAATAAGCAACAAGCATATACAAAATTTTTTTCTAGGTGGTGTTTTAAGTTTCTTCTTTTCCTTTATTTACAGTACTCCAAGCTTTCAGCAAAACCATTATCAGCATACACAGTAAAAGTTGTGGACCTCCTGCCTCTGAGGGTTGTTTGCAAGATTCCTTTTAAGCTCTTCTCTTTAAGCTCCCTTTAAGGCTTATAATAACATTACTCAATGTGCATAACATTATTCAATGTGCATAATACTCAAGTAAAAATGTGACATAAGGGTGTAAGATCTTAAGTTTACACTCAGTTTTGTTGTGTACAATAAAGGTAATGCTTGTTCCTCGATTATGTTTTTAAATGAACACAACTTCTTTTGTCTTTACAAACCATTCACCTGTGTAGTTTTATATTTAAACCTATCAACTTAGAGTTATCGTGAGTCAGGTAATGGCTTTAAACATTTATGTAGAAAAAAATGGTCCTCTTTTATCAGGAAGGTGAAATATTCAGACAGATTCCTCCTGCTCAAACACCATATGAAACTGTTCTCTGGTATAGTGAATAAATGAATAAATGACTAAATGCTAATATGCATGGAGTAAAGCTGCCAATTCATTTCATTCTGATCTTTGGGGTAATTTAGAACCTGCTATTTATTTTCTTTTAAGAAAAACTGTCCATCAAGTTCAAATATACAATGGTTAATGTGGATAAAAGATCATCAGGCATTTATACGAAATTACAAGACGTCTTTTCACTAGCTATCTCAATTTGAGATTTGAATTCAAACTCATCAAAGGAAAAAAATCTATTAAATCTATTAACACATTTTCTAAAGAAAAAAATCAGTATTTTACTTTTTCGACAGTTGAATAAAAGGATTTAGACATATATCAAATGGGAACAAAGGGTTTTAATCCCTCTGTGGAATAGGAAGAGAGACATACTATACTGGAAAGACTGCACAGACCATCAGGAGAGAAACCAGAGAATACGTGGACTCAATCCCATCATTTCAGAACACAGGCAGCTTGTCTGTTAATTTCTTTCCTCTCAGCCTGGGTGACCTCTCACAAGCTTAACAGTAACAGGGAGTCTAAAACTGCTTCTGAGCAGGTGCTTTCTGCAGACAAGTGCTATTTATCAGTGAAGATTTAGACAGGATAACATTGAGGAGTGATGTGTTACTTTAACCAGATTGCAAAACTGAAAAAGAATAATGAACCTCACATTAGTTAAATAAACAAAGTGACAGTAAGCACAATAAGCAGACAGGCATGATGCTTACAGAAGAGTCACCTCTTTTTGTGTACAGTGTGCCACATTGCACTTGCTGTTCCAATATATGTTTTAATAAATGTCCTTTAAAGTATACATGAAATAGAGTAGGCATTCAACTATTTGTTTAATGAAAATAACAATATATTATATATAAAGAAAAATCTGATCTCATATCATCAGAAACAGATTTTGTCAACCACTACTTTTGACCTTTTGGACCAGATAGATCTTGTTGTGAAAGGCTATCCTGTGTACTGTAGGGTGTTTAGCAGCACCCTTGGCCTCCAGACCTACCAGATGCCAGCAACTACTTTCCCTGTCGTGACAATCAAAAATGTTTCCAGATGTCAGCAAATGTCCCCTGGATGTCATATCTCCTCTGATTGAGAACTACTGTTGAGAAAGGAAGTTACAATTAGCACGATTCAATTTTACCTACATAGCTTTCTATTTTCAAGGCTAGTCTGTGATTGAGTAGGAAGGATATGTTTACTTTCCTTTTAACTGTTAGTAAATTAACTTATATATATTAGTTTAGTAGAGCTGCTGTAAAAAAGTACCACAAATTGGGTAGCTAAAACAACAGAAATATATTGTCTTATGGTCCTGGAAGCTAGCTAGAAGACTGAAATCAAGGTGTCAGCAGAGTTGGTTCCTTCTGAGGGCTGTGGGGGAAAATCTGCTCCTGGCCTCTCCCCCAGTTCATTGTGGCCTCAGGCATCCCTTGGCTTGAAGATGGCACTCTGCCAGTGTCTTCAGATGGTCTTCTCTGTGTCCATCTCAGTCAAATCAGTGTCCATATTTCCCCTTTTTATAAGGATGCAAGGCATACGGGATTAAGGCCCACACTAATGACCTTGTTTTAAATTGATTACTCTGTAAAGACCTTATATCCAAATAAAGGCACATTCTGAGGTACTGAGAGTTAGAATGCCAACACATATTTTTTGAGAGGGGACACAACTGGACTCATAACAGTATGATTCCGACTATTGTGCATTTAGTGCCAGAAATGAGGCTCTGGCATTTAACCGTTAACTGCTTTAAATTCTTTCTGCTCTTTGGTTCACATCTCTGCTTCCTGGGGGACAAAAATGGTGTGATTTTTTTTTTTTAACATCTTTATTGGAGTATAATTGCTTTACAATGGTGTATCAGTTTCTGCTTTATAACAAAGTGAATCAGTTATACACATACATATGTTCCCATATCTCTTCCCTCTTGCATCTCCCTCCCTCCCACCCTCCCTATCCCACCCCTCCAGGTGGTCACAAAGCACCGAGCTGATCTCCCTGTGCTATGCAGCTGCTTCCCACTAGCTATCTACCTTACGTTTGGTAGTGTATATATGTCCATGCCTCTCTCTCGCTTTGTCACAGCTTACACTTCCCCCTCCCTATATCCTCAAGTACATTCTCTAGTAGGTCTGTGTCTTTATTCCTGTCTTATCCCTAGGTTCTTCATGACATTTTTCTTCTTAAATTCCATATATATGTGTTAGCATACGGTATTTGTCTTTCTCTTTCTGACTTACTTCACTCTGTGTGACAGACTCTAGGTCTATCCACCTCATTACAAATAGCTCAATTTCGTTTCTTTTTATGGCTGAGTAATAGTCCACTGTATATATGTGCCACATCTTCTTTATCCATTCACCCGATGATGTGTCCATCTGATGATGGACACTTAGGTTGCTTCCATGTCCTGGCTATTGTAAATAGAGCTGCAATGAACATTTTGGTACATGACTCTTTGAATTATGGTTTTCTCAGGGTATATGCCCAGTAGTGGGATTGCTGGGTCATATGGTAGTCCTATTTTTAGTTTTTTAAGGAACGTCCAAAGTGTTCTCCATAGTGGCTGTATCAATTTACATTCCCACCAACAGTGCAAGAGGCTTCTCTTTTCTCCACACCCTCTCCAGCATTTATTGTTTGTAGATATTTTGATGATGGCCATTCTGACCGGTGTGAGATGATATCTCATTGAAGTTTTGACTTGCATTTCTCTAATGATTAAAGATGTTGAACATTCTTTCATGTGTTTGTTGGCAATCTGTATATCTTCTTTGGAGAAATGTCTATTTAGGTTTTCTGCCCATTTTTGGATTGTATTGTATTTTTTTTGTTATTGAGCTTCATGAGTTGCTTGTAAATCTTGGAGATTAATCCTTTGTCAGTCGTTTCATTTGCAAATATTTTCTCTCATTCTGACGGTTGTCTTTTGGTCTTGTTTATAGTTTCCTTTGCTGTGCAAAAGCTTTTAAGTTTCATTAGGTCCCATTTGTTTATTTTTGTTTTTATTTCCATTTCTCTATGAGGTGGGTCAAAAAGGATCTTGCTGTTATTTATGTCATAGAGTGTTCTGCCTATGTTTTCCTCTAAGAGTTTGATAGTGTCTGGCCTTACATTTAGGTCTTTAATCCATTTTGAATTTATTTTTGTGTATGGTGTTAGAGAGTGTTCTAATTTCATACTTTTACATGTACCTGTCCAATTTTCCGAGCACCACTTATTGAAGAGGCTGTCTTTTCTCCATTGTATATTCTTGCCTCCTTTATCAAAGATAAGGTGACCATATGAGTATGGGATTATTTCTGGGCTTTCTATCCTGTTCCATTGATCTATATTTCTGTTTTTGTGCCAGTACCATACTGTCTTGATTACTGTAGCTTTGTAGTATAGTTTGAAGTCAGGGAGCCTGATTCCTCCAGCTCCATTTTTCATCCTCAAGATTGCTGTAGAAGAGTCAGAGAAGGGGACGAGGTGGCAATGCCGTGTCTAGATCGCTCCTCTCGGGGACTGACCAACCCACAGAGTGAAGATGTTTCTCCACACTGCTCCTCCCACTGCAAAGCTGTCCCTTCTGGCTATGTCTCAGAGCAGGCATCGTGCTGTGGCTCTGCCACTGGAGCGCGAGGACAGCGGGACCTTCAGTTTGGGGAAGATGATCACAACTAAGCCAGGGAAAACACCAATTCAGGTATCACATGAATACAGCATGAAGACCAAGAATATCCCAGTTTATGAATGTGAAAGATCTGATGTGCAAATACATGTGCCCACTTTCACCTTCAGAGTAACCGTTGGTGACATAACCTGCACAGCTGAAGGTACAAGTAAGAAGCTAGTGAAACATAGAGCTGCAGAGGCTGCCATAAACATTTTGAAAGCCAGTGCAAGTATTTTCTTTGCAATTCCTGATCCCTTAATGCCTGACCCTTCCAAGCAACCAAAGAACCAGCTTAATCCTGTTGGTTCATTACAGGAATTGGCTATTCATCATGGCTGGAGACTTCCTGAATATACCCTTTCCCAGGAGGGAGGGCCTGCTCATAAGAGAGAATATACCACAATTTGCAGGCTAGAGTCATTCATGGAAACTGGAAAGGGGGCATCAAAGAAACAAACCAAGAGAAATGCTGCTGAGAAATTTCTTGCCAAATTCAGTAATACTTCTCCAGAGAACCACATTTCTTTGACAAATGTGGTAGGACATTTTTTAGGTTGTACTTGGCGTTCCTTGAGGAATTATTCTGGTGAAAAGATCAACTTACGGAAAAGAGGCCTCCTCAGTATTCCAAATACATATTATATCCAGCTGCTTAGTGAAATTGCAAAGGAGCAAGGTTTTAATATAACATATTTGGATATAGAAGAACTGAGTGCCAACGGACAGTATCAATGTCTTGCTGAATTGTCCACCAGTCCCATCACAGTCTGTTATGGCTCGGGGATCTGCTGTGGCAGTGTGCAGAGTGATGCAGCTCACAATGCTCTGCAGTATATAAAGATAATAGCAGAAAGAAAGTAAACGTGGAACAACGTAGAAAACCCTTTAGTAGCACATAAGAAGTTCCCTTTTCTCCCCTTTCCAATTAAAACATTTACTATAATGTTTGAGTTTGTGTGTTGGTTCTAAATCTCTTCATAGATTCCATCAACACTCCAGATTTAATTATCTTCTGGTAGTTGTTATTAAGATGTTTTTAATGGCTTCGACTTTGTATTGGTATACTGTATTTATTTGTACCATAGCAGAGTGTAGCACCCATTTTACAATGCCATGTACATAGAAGGAAAAAACTGCATGATTGTTGTTGTTGAGGAGGAGGATAAAATAAAACTGCTAACAACAGTCTTTCCTACTGGTGCTTAACCTCTTCTTTGTGCAAGGCTTTGTAAAGGGATTTCGAAGGAAGCCCCTTAGAATTAGTGTTGAGGAATGCACTAACAGGTTTTAATTGAATGTGATTGTTAAATTTCAGGGAACATGATTGGTATGCTGTGTATTTGAATCCATGTAATAAAGAGCTGTTGTTATAAAAAAAAAGATTGATTTAGCTCTTAGGGGTCTGTTGTGTTTCCATACAAATTGTGAAATTTTTTGTTCTAGTTCTGTGAAAAATGCCAGTGATAGTTTGATAGGGATTGCATTGAATCTGTAGATTGCTTTGGGTAGTAGAGCCATTTTCACAATGTTGATTCTTCCAATCCAAGAACATGGTATATCTCTCAATCTATTTATATCATCTTTATTTTTTTTCATCAGTGTCATAATTTTCTGCATACAAGTCTTTTGTCTACTTAGGTAGGTTTATTCCTAGATATTTTATTCTTTTTGTAGCAATGGTAAATGGGAGAGTTTCCTTAATTTCACTTTCAGATTTTTCATTATTAGTGTACAGGAATGCAAGAAATTTCTGTGCATTAATTTTGTTTACCAAATCCATTGATTAACTCTAGTAGTTTTCTGGTAGCATCTTTAGGATTCTCTGTGTAAAGTATCATGTCATCTGCAAACAGTGACAGCTTTACTTCTGCTTTTCCAATTTGGATTCTTTTTATTTCTTTTTCTTCTCTGATTGCTGTGGCTAAAAATTCCAAGCCTATGTTGAAAAATGGTGGTGAGAGTGGGCAACCTTGTCTTCTTCCTGATCTTAGTGGAAATGGTTTCAGTTCTTCACCATTGAGGTGATGTTGACTGTGTGTTTGTCATATGTGGCCTTTACTATGTTGAGGAAAGTTCCCTCTATGCCTACTTTCTGCAGGGTTTTTATCATAAATGGGTGTTGAATTTTGTCAAAAGCTTTCAATGCATCTATTGAGATGATCATATGGTTTTTCTCCTTCAGTTTGTTAATATGGTGTATCACATTGATTGATTTGCGTATATTGAAGAATCCTTGCATTCCTGGAATAAACCCCACTTGATCATGATGTATGATCCTTTTAATGTCCTGTTGGATTCTGCTTGCTAGTATTTTGTTGAGGAATTTTGCATCTATGTTCATCAGTGATATTGGCCTGTAGTTTACTTTTTTTGTGGCATCATTGTCTGGCTTTGGTATCAAGGTGATGGTGGCCTCGTAGAATGAGTTTGAGAATGTTCCTCCCTCTGCTATATTTTGGAAGTATTTGAGAAGGATAGGTGTTAGCTCTTCTCTAAATGTTTGATAGAATTTGCCTGTGAAGCCATCTGGCCCTGGGCTTTTGTTTGTTGGAAGATTTTTAATCACAGTTTCAATTTCAGTGTTTGTGATTGGTCTGTTCATATTTTCTATTTCTTCCTGATTCAGTCTCGGCAGGTTGTGCATTTCTAAAAATTTGTCCATTTCTTCCAGGTTGTCCATTTTATTGGCATAGAGTTGCTTGTAGTAATCTCTCATGATCCTTTGTATTTCTGCAGTGTCAGTTCTTCTCCTTTTTCATTTCTAATTCTGTTGATTTGAGACTTCTCCCGTTTTTTCTTGATGTGTCTGGCTAATGGTTTATCAATTTTGTTTATCTTCTCAAAGAACCAGCTTTTAGTTTTATTAATCTTTGTTATCATTTCCTTCATTTCTTTTTCATTTATTTCTCATCTGATTTTTATGATTTCTTTCCTTCTGCTAACTTTGAGGTTTTTTCATTCTTCTTTCTCTAATTGCTTTAGGTGGAAGGTTAGGTAGTTTGTTTGAGATGCTTCCTGTTTCTTAAGGTAGGATTCTATTGCTATAAATTTCCCTCTTAGAACTGCTTTTGCTGCATCTCATAGGTTTTGGGTCGTCATGTCTTCATTGTCATTTGTTTCTAGGTATTTTTTGATTTCCCCTTTGTTTTCTTCAGTGATCTCTTGGTTATTAAGTAGTGTATTGTTTAGCCTATGTGTGTTTGTAGTTTTTATAGATCTTTTCCTGTAATTGATATCTAGTCTCATAGCATTATGGTTGGAAAAGATACTTGATATGATTTCAATTTTCTTAACTTTACCGAGGCTTGATTTGTGACCCAAGATATGATCTATCCTGGAGAATATTCCATGAGCACTTGAGAAAAATGTTTATTCTGTTGTTTTTGGATGGAATGTCCTATAAATATCTGTTCAGTCCATCTTGTTTAATGTATCATTTAAAGCTTGCGTTTCCTTATTTATTTTCATTTTGGATGATCTGTTCATTGGTGAAAGTGGGGTGTTAAAGTCCCCTACTATGATTGTATTATTGTCAATTTCCCCTTTATGGCTGTTAGTATTTGCCTTATGTATTGAGGTGCTCCTATGTTGGGTGCATAAATATTTACAATTGTTATATTTTCTTCTTGAATCGATCCCTTGATCATTATGTAGTGTTCTTCTTTTTATCTTGTAATAGTCTTTGTTTTAAAGTCTATTTTGTCTGATATGTGAATTGCTATTCCAGCTTTCTTTTGATTTCCATTTGCATGAAGTATCTTTTTCCATCCCCTCACTTTCAGTCTGTGTGTGTTCCTAGGTCTGAAGTTGGTCTCTTGTAGGAGCATATATACAGGTCTTGTTTTTGTATCCATTCTGCCAGTCTGTGTCTTTTGGTGGGAGCATTTAATCCATTTACATTTAAGGTAATTATTGATATGTATGTTCCTAATCCCATTTTCTTAATTGTTTTGGGTTTGTTTTTGTCGGCCTTTTCCTTCTCTTGTGTTTCTTGCCTAGAGAAGTTCCTTTAGCATTTGTTGTAAAGCTGGTTTGGTGGTGCTGTAGTGTCTCAGCTTTTGCTTGTGTGTAAAGGTTTTAATTTCTCCATCAAATCTGAATGAGATCCTTGCTGGGTAGAGTAATCTTGGTTGTAGGTTTTTCTCCTTCATTACTTTAAATATGTCCTGCCACTCCCTTATGGTTGCAGAGTTTCTGCTGAAAGATCAGCTGTTAAACTTATGGGGATTCCCTTGTGTGTTATTTTTCCCTTGCTGCTTTTAATATGCTTTCTTTGTATTTAATTTTTGACAGTTTGATAAATATATGTCTTGGTGTATTTCTCCTTGGTTTTGTCCTGTATGGGACTCTCTGTGCTTCCTGGAGTTGATTAACTATTTCCTTTCCCATATTAGGGAAGTTTTCAACTATAATGTCTTCAAATATTTTCTCAGTCCCTTTCTTTTTCTTTTCTTCTTCTGCGACCCCTACAATTCGAATGTTGGGTGTAATGTTATCCCAGAGGTCTCTGAGACTGTCCTCAGTTCTTTTCATTCTTTTTTCTTTATTCTGCTCTGCAGTAGTTATTTCCACTATTTTATCTTCTAGGGCACTTACCCATTCTTCTACCTCAGTTATTCTGCTATTGATCCCTCCTAGAGTATTGTTAATTTCATTTATTGTGTTGTTCATTGTTGCTTGTTTCCTCTTTAGTTCTTCTAGGTCCTTGTTAAATGTTTCTTGCATTTTCTCAATTCTATTTCCAAGATTTTGGATCATCTTTACTATCATTATTTGGAGTTCTTTTTCAGGTACACTGTCTATTTCCTCTTCATTTGCATGGTCTGGTGGCTTTTTACTTTGCTCCTTCATCTGCTGTGTGTTTTTCTGTCTTCTCATTTTGACTAACTTACTGTGTTTGGGGTCTCCTTTTTTCAGTCTGCAGGTTTGTAGTTCCCGTTGTTTTTGGTGTCTGTCCCCAATGACTAAGGTTCTTTCAGTGGGTTTTGTAGGCTTCCTGGTGGAGGGGAGTAGTGCCTGTGTTCTGGTGGATGACGCTGGCTCTTGTCTTTCTGGTGGGCAGGTCCACGTCTGGTGGTGTCTTTTGGGGTGTCTGTGGCCTTAGTATGATTTTAGGCAGCCTCTCTGCTAATGGGTGGTGTTGTGTTCCTGTCTTGCTAGTTGTTTGGCATAGGGTGTCCAACAGTGTAGATTGCTGGTCATTGAGTGAAGCTGGGTCTTGATGTTGAGATGGAGATATCTGGGATATTTTCTTCATTTCATATTACATGGAGCTGGGAGGTCTCTTGTGGGCCAGTGTCCTGAAGTTGGCTCTCCTACCTCAGAGGCACAGCACTGACTCCTTGCTGGAGTACCAAGAGCCTCTCATCCACACAGCTCAGAATAAAAGGGAGAAAAAATAGAAAGAAAGAGGATAAAATAAAATTTAAAAAAGTAAAGATAAAATAAAATAAGGTTATTAAAATAAAAAATAATGATTAAGAAAAAAAAATTTTTTTAAGTAAAAAAAAAAAGAAAACAAAAACCAAAAAAAAAGAAACAAAAACCAAAAACCAAAATGGACAGACAGAACCCTAGGACAAGTGGTGAAACCAAAGCTATACTGACAAAATCTCACACAGAAGTATACACATACACATTCACAAAAAGAAGAAAAGAGGAAAAAATAATATATCTTGCTCCCAACGTCCTCCTCCTCAATTTGGGATGATTCGTTGCCTTTTCAGGTATTCCACAGATTCAGGGTACATCAAGTTGATTGTGGAGATTTAATTTGCTACTCCTGAGGCTGCTGGGAGGGATTTCCATTTCTCTTCTTTGTTTGCACAACTCCCAGGATTTGTCTTTGGATTTGGCTCTGCCTCTGTGTGTACGTCACCTGAGGGCGTCTGTTCTTTGCTCAGACAGGACGGGCTTACAGGAGCAGTTGATTCAGGGGCTCTGGCTCCCTCAGGCCAGGGGGAGAGAGGGGTACATATGCGGGGCAAGCCTGCGGTGGCAGAGGCTGGTGTGACATCGCACCAGCCTGAAGCACGCTGTGTGTTCTCCCGGGGAAGTTGTCCCTGGATCACGGGACCCTGGCAGTGGCGGGCTGCACAGGCTCCCTGGAGGGGAGGTGTGGATCGTGACCTTTGTTTGCACACAGGCTTCTTGGTGGCAGCAGCAGCAGCCTTAACAACCAATGCCCGTATCTGGGGTCTGCGCTGATAGCTGCAGCTTACGCCCATCTCTGGAGCTCCTTTAAGCGGCTCTCTGAATACCCTCTCCTCATGCACCAGGAAACAAAGAGGCAATAAAAGGTCTCTTGCCTCTTTGGCAGCTCCAGACTTTCTCCCGGATTCCCTCCCGGCTAGCTGTGGT